CAATTACTCATTTTTGCAGAATAATCTTAAATAATCCCACTCTTCGTAATAATTTTCCAGAACCAGATTTGTATCTCCTATAAATTAATTGATTTTTATTATTATTCATTACTTCCCTTCAAGTAGGGACTATACGGAAACACTAATAGTTTTCATTCCATTTTGGTTTCCATTTATCGAGTGCTTTCCAAGGCTTCACCACAGGGTATATTTATCACTCGTTATGTCTCATCCTTTATAACAACATAACATAATGTTTTGGGACAACATGAGACATATTGGTCCATCTCGGCTGTCCCATCCTCTATATTAAACTAAGACTATTGATAAATAAATTATAAAAAAATTTAAAGCCAGCCCTTATCATTCATATACTTATCAAGCTTTCTCTTAAACTCCTTTAATTTACTGTCTCCACAACATCCGAAGGCAACCCACACCAAAGGCCAATCACCCTGTTAGAAAAATAAAACTAGCTTAGCTGAAGATGACTCCTATCCTGCGAAATGTTATATTTGTGTCCCCTTGTCCTACTATACTCACTGTTAAGTATGAAAAAGATGATGTGTTAACACTATCAATTCCCTTGACAATTTTAAATTAAAAATTTAATTAGAACCCCTCTAACTCTTCTTTTTTCAAGAGAAATCAATTTGAGAGATTTAAATCTCTCCTCGTATGACAATCCCTCCATCCCAGGCGTCATTCTAGTAACCCTCCTCTCAACCCTTTCCGACATTTCAGTGTCCTTCCTAAGGTAAGGTTCCCAAAACTGAATACGGTACTCCAAATGTGGCCTAACCAGTGACCTATACAATGAAAGTATAACCTCTTTAGATTTGTATTCAATATTTCTGTAGATACAACCTAAAATCCTATTTGCCCCACCACTACCAACATCACACTGTTTGGATGGCTTAAGAGACTGAACAACTATTACACCAAAATCCCTCTCTTTCATGACACTGTTAAGGTTATTCCCATCCAAATTATACTTATAATTCAAATTATGATAACATACATGCATTATCTTGCATTTATTTTAATTAAAACCCATTTGCCATTTATTTACCCAACTCACTAAATCATATAAATCCTTTTGTAAATCAGCAGCATCCTCTTCACAGCTAGCAACCAACACCCAAGACCTTAATATCATCTGCAAATTTCTGTAATTTATTGACCATTCATTCATCTATGTCATTGATGTAAATCAAAAAGAACAAAGGTCCTAAGACTGAGCCCTGAGGTGCCCCACTTGTGATATTAATCCAGTTTGGCTGAACTCCATTTGTAACGACCCTCTGATTTCTTCCATCCAACCACTCTTCTATCCAATTTTCTAACTTATCCCCCACACCTATAGAGATAATTTTTTACAAGCCTTTCATGTGGCATATTGTCAAATGCTTTCTGAAAATCCAGATACACCAAATCTACACCCTTACTCTCATCTACATAAGCAGTAACCTTTTCAAAGGCAAGATTTTCCGTTAGTGAAGCCATGTTGACTATCCACTAAAATTCTAAACTTTGTTAAATAGCTTTGCAAAGCATCTTTTATCAGACTATCCAAAACGTTTCTCACAACTAATGTAAGACTAATGAGCAAGTAATTACTGGTACAAATTTATCACATCCCTTTAAAAGAGTAGTAACATTAGCTAACTTCCAATCCTTTGGTACCTACCCACTGTTCAAAGACTTACAAAAAATAGTAGCAAGTACATCACATATCCAATACTTAATCTCCTTAAATGTCCACCTGTGGGACAACTGTAAATCTACGGATTTACAATGCTAAAATAAGGGGTTCAATTCTCTTCGGTGAACACAGCAGATAGCCCAATGTGTCTTTGCTATAAAACACACACACACACCTCCTTAAAATCATTGGGAATATAGTATCTGTCCCAGGAGCCTTATCGTTCTTTAAACTTCCCAATTTTTTATTAACAAGCTCATAATTGTGCAGTCATCTTGTTCGATCTATTTTCCACCTACCAACTGTTCAAGATGCGGAATACTGCTTAAATTTTTACTTATAACTTCATACCCACAGTTAATTATGGACAGTATCACTGATAAAATTAAGTTACGGCAGTTTTCTTTAAATGCCTTTATCAGTCCCTTGTACTTATTAATTAGCTCCTCTGACCTACCTTTCCCCTACATCATAGCCCCTACGTGCACAACAAAAACAGCATCTCTGCTAGCCCCCTTTATTAAATTTCCTGCTCTATCAGTTATATCCTCCACCTGTACCCCTGGGTAGCATAATCTAATTCTTTTCTCCCTATTTACCTCACAGACTATCCTATCCACATGCCTTATCAAGGAATCGCCTATAATTATAAACTCCTTATGTTTATAATCCATATTCTTCTCTGTCCCTTTTGTTTTCCTTCCCTCCAATAGTTCCTCATTTCAGAAGCCAAGGGCTGAAATTTGTTGTCATATAATAGGCTCATTACAATTAAATTCACTACTTTTAGCCAACTCTTTCTAACTTCCTGAAAGTCATTGTTAGTTGATGTATTCCTTGCATGAATAAACTACGTTGAAACTGTTCACCATTTTGATACTACAGATCTTACAAGTTTCAAGAACTGGGCATTTTGTTTATCCTCTCGTTTTTTTAACCTTTCAGTAGCTCCACCCCTCTGGTATATAAAACCTCAATTACTAACTGTATTGTAAGTATCAGCTCTTCAAAATTCTTCAAATAATGTATATTGCGTAACAATTAGCTTTCAAAACCTCCAGTTGCTCCAACCCTTCAGATACTAACTTATGTAATCATAAGATGTTTTTAGCTCTTTAGTAGCTCAACCCTTCATATAATAACTATATTGAACCATAAGATGTTTTTAATACTACAATAGCTCCAACCCTTAAGGAATTAACTATAGTGAACCATAAGATGTTTCTAACACTTCAATAGTTCCAAACATTCAGATACCGACTATAATGTAACCGTTAGCTGTCGCTAATTTTCCAGTAGTTCCAATCCTTCATTTACTAAATATAGTTAAACTAATAACTGTTTTTAATATTTCAGTAGTTTCAGCCCTTAAAAAATACTATAATGAAACATAAACCCGTTCTAGTGCTTCAGTAGTTCAATCTTTTACAGTGCTAGATACTGTAGGACCCTTAGCTACCTTTTACAGTTTAGTAGTTAAGAAACCTTCAAAATCTAATTTCATCGTAATCACTTGTTGTTTTAACACTTCACTGTTCCAACCATTTAATCTAAGGTAAAAAATTTCCATGAAATCTTTGTTCACACATCTGTAGTTCCAATCGTTTGACTTTCAAATATATGCACCCACTATCTTGTTTAGTATGTCTCTAGTTCCAGCTTGTTAGGTCGACCTGTAGTGTAACAGTTCAATATTTTTAGGGTGTCAGTAAGTCCTACTCCTCAGAAAAATGTGAGAATTGAAACTTTCTTGTCCGAGGTTTTTGAACCTCTCTCAACTGAAAACAGCTCTTAGTTGATTCTATAGTAAAACAAGTGTAACTGCTATTTATATTTTCTTTTTTTCGTTGTATTTTCCTGTACATTTTTGTTTTTTCCAATTGAAATAACGGTTCTGACTTTTCATAATTTGGCAATCTGGCGGTTCGTCTTAACGTTAGCTTACCTTTGGCTAGAAGTTTGAATGATACTGTAACTTTATTGTCGCTTGCTGAATATCCATGTGGTATAAGAAAATTGTTATATTACTTGTTTTCACTTGCAATTGTTTTGTTCCTTAATATAGAAATCATTTTGTAACGCTTGCTGGGCAGATAATAGTTCTTGGCCATCTGGATTAACTTCAGTATCTACTTCAAACTCTTGATTACTTTCGTATTCACAACGTTTCACAAGAATCCTCTGGTCCTAAAATTTTAATGCTCGTGAGTTTTATGTTACCCACTTATCATACAACTATACCAACCTAATTCTACTTACGTTTTCGTTTTGTAGAATAAGTAGATGAACAGATCCTTTTAGACTCGATCTGTAACCCCGTGATACACGTAGTAGGGTAGACTCCAAGTAAATGCAGTGACATTAAAAACTTTTTCTCTAGAAAATTGTCTATCCTTTCAACTCATTCCTTCAATAACCCATTTCGAATATTGCTTCTGTAGCATAGTGAATATAATTAAATCAGCTCTGTAACCTTCCTCATCTGTAAACCTTTTTCTAGCTTGAACTTCATAATAATAACGTTTCTTAGATAGTAATATACTTTTTAGATCTATTAGATATCCTGTTCCGTACAGTTAGATTTTCTCTGTTGCTACGAGCATGATTGCACCATTACTTTAATTTCTTATCCGAAAATCTAACTGGACTATGTTTAGTGGAGAGAACTATGCATGCTATATTCTCTCTCTCTTTCCCTAGTCCTTCTCTCCCGCTTGTCTATCAACAAGGGCTTTTACCTTTTCATTTTTAGCAGCTTCTCTGGAGTAAAGTGACATTCCTGGTCCATTGTTACTTGATATAACTATTTGCATCTGTGAGATCGTGTTCATTGTTTTAACTAAAACGCAACTGAGGTTTCATCAGTGTAAATACGCCTTCCCTTTCGTGATAAGCTACAGTATTATTAAGATGAAAGTTACAATGGGCCAGGACTGTTGACTTTGTGAAGCGTACAAGATCTCCTGATGTCGTCTCTTTGGGCAGCCAACTTGGAGCCTTGTTGGATGAGGTAAGAATGTGTGTAGCTTCAACCATTACATGTGGTTTAAAACACTTTTGTCTATTTTTTTGTTCAATGTCTTTCATGCTGCATGTCTGTCTGGTCCTTGATTTTTGCATGGAAGCTACGGGAAGTGTGGGGAGATTAACCTCTGCCGTTTAAACTTACATATTGGTTTCAGTTTTGGTTCTCACGTTAGCTTGATTGTGTTCGCACGTTAGCTGTAATGTGTATAGTTATTAATTGTGTGTATTGATAATTACATCAGTATCAAATATGATAATCGAAAATAAGTTTTCCTCCCCACATCTTCTTCAGGCTTCTCTAGCTTCAGCTATCTCCCTACTCCTGCTACAGCCACAGCAGATCGTCCCCAAACAACTTACTATGGTGAACCTTTCTCCACTGCCCCTGTCATTAACGTCACTCGCCCTGAGCCGGCTTCCATAACTATTACCAATACCACAGTACATAGGGAGCATTATATACCCCATCGACCCGCAGGTAAGAACTTAAGTCTTTATAAGTCGCAAGTTGTAGAAAAGTAACATTTGTTTCTATATCGTCCTTCAGGTAAGGTTACAAGTCAGTAGTTGTTGAAACTGCAATTTTAAACGAGATCCTATTGAAATAATCAGTTCAGTTTAAGATAAATAATATCGATGCAACTTTTAATTTCAAACAGTTATCAGTTCAATTTAAGATAAGTAATATATAAATTACTTTTCTTATAATTGTGAAACTTTCAAATAAGTATGGTATAAGTTTGACTAAGATAATATATAATCTTCTTGTCACATTAATACCAATTAGTTTTTAAACTACAAGTTATTTATTTCATATTGTTGCTAATAAGGGCTTACATGAGGTGGTAAAATCATATATAGGAAAAAGTTCAGTTTCAGGTAAGTAAAAAATATGACTTTTTGTATCAGTTTGATATATTTTAATATCGTCTTATGACTCGAATTTTGTAGTTTTTCCAGTTTATTCGTGGATTTGTCACGTTGTGTGTAAAGGAACATCAGAAATACCATACAAATAAGCTATATCAGTTGATTCTCATAAGGTTACCAACTCCTTTTTTATCTATACATGTCTTACTTGGTTTTTTAACAAATTGAAATAATAATTCAGTTTAACGTAGCTAAAATATGAGTTGGTATTTCAAAAAATGTAAATACCAATCCATTTTGACGTAAGTAAGTTATCAGTTTGAATGTCAACATTTCGTAATCTTGTGTTTGTCGGGCAAATGTAATATTACTGTATTGTTTTACCCATTACCTTACAGGATATTTTTGTTATTAAAGATAAAAAGCAAAAACAAACTGTAGTTGTTTAACGCCAACAAGTTGCATGTGTTATTTGTTTCCTACCAAGTATATTTCTATAATTGAAAACCAAAGAAAAAAAACATTCACCTCTGCCTCTACCCGTTATCGTACAAGACATTGAAAAGTTACATTGTTATCTTCTTTGTTGCCCTTTATTTCAAAGGACTGTGTTATATTTTTTATCCATTACCTTACAATATTATTTATGGTTGAAAAGCCACATTGTTATATATTCTTTAGCTGATAATTGTGAACACTTCAACCTTGAAAAGCACATTATCGTTTCTTTCCAGATTTGTTCAAGACTGAAAAAGTGTAATTGTTATGTGTTTTACACAGTACCTAAGGGAACTGTTCAGCATTGAAAAAATATCATTGTTATCTGCCTTTACCAAATAGTTAAGAGTACTGTATATTAACATAGAAGACAATGTCAGTTATCCTCATCCATTACATACTACATTGTATATCTGCTAAACGATGAAACTATCGTTGCTATCTGATATTATCCAATATTTTAGAGAACTATTTAACATTGAAAACAAACATTACCTGCAGGATTGTTTAACACTGAAAAGTGTAATTAGTTTTTGTCCTTACCTTGATTTAAAAGTAACACTATCTTTTTTCACTCATTGTCTTAATGTTTTATTTAACACTGCAAATAAATGTTATTATCTGTGTTTACCCATTAACTTATATACAATATATCATAAAAATAAAATTTTTTGCACAGTAGTTTACGGCATTTTCTATCTTCACTGCCCTACCTATTACCGAAATGACTGGTTAACTTTGAAACTAGCATTATTATTACTTGCATTTATTCAACGTAAAGTAGTTGTTTTTATCTTTAAAAGGATATTTTCATCTTTAGCTCACATTAGTTTATCAATTTCTTAATTTTATACTACAACCAGTTTTTACACTTGTCTTTCGTTGCTGTATTTGTTTAAACTACAAACTTTTATTATATTTGATCTGTCCAATTTGCTGCTAAATTGCAAACTGTTGATCGGATCTCTTGTATTTGCAGTGGAACTAAATGGCCACCAAACTTCGCCCCCACTTATTACCCAAGCACTCTCAGGTATTAAAAGTTTTGTTTGATTTACTTTGTGATCTATCTATTCGCGTTTGTTTATGTACTATAATTAATTCTTAACCGGTCCAATTAAAGTTAAATTGAAAATTCAAATACATTGGAGCACAATTAGTTTTATGTTCTGTGCTTCGAAATCTGTGTTTTAACGACCAATGTGTAACCCAAGTGCAGTACGTATATAAAATAAATTGATTATGTAAGTGGTATTCCAGATTTATATCAAATTTTCGTTATTTTAATAGTAATAAACAACTATGGCCCCCAAGGATTTGCTCCGCCCACTTCCCCAGCCAATAACCGTGGATGGCCTGCCTCCAACAGTCCAGGACCTCTTGAACTTTACAATTCCAGTCAAGACAACGTGGGATATGTCCAGGCTACCAGTCCACAGTCCTCAGGATACCCTCATATGGCTGTAAGTAAGGGTTGTTTTCATCTTCTTCAAACATTTTATATTTGGTTTCAGAAAAAGGCCTCACAACTGGTACACTGAATATAATTGGTTTAAAACAGAGTCAAACTACAACGTCTCATAATTATAGAGGGGGCTTGTGATATCCACAGCGGCTAAACAAGTAAGGCAACCAACCCCCTCCAATAATTTCCTAATGATTTAGAGCTGTAACCCAATAATTTATTCGGGACTGACCAAAATCCAGCAACTTTTTCACTGCTCTCAATTTCAACCGATATTCTTTACACCGAAATTCATAACATAGTCTGAAATAACGTAGGCAGGCATTAGCAGAACACGACAACAAGACTTTAGTCTGAGATCACATAGATAGACATTAGTGGGCCCGACCGAACACTTTAGTCTGAGAACGTAGATAGTTGTTAATGAAACTCCACAGAACACTTTAGTCTGAAGTAACATAGTTAGGCAATAGAAAGACTAAAGGTTTTAGTCTATAGGATCGAAATTATAAGTTTGCAAAATTCAGCTTAAGAAAATATTTTGAAAAAACATACATATGCGATCGTGATGAATTACCTATTTACAATGAACAACTCTGTTTTGGTTAAACACCAGCTCATGTAGAAAAACACATTAATTACAACCTTTTTTTTTAAAGACTCTATGACGTGAAAACACCTTTATAATTACCACCGCGTTTCTTTAGATCTTCTTTAGTCTCTTATTATTATTAAATGTTTAATATGTCTTTGCTTACAGTTGCAGTATAAGTTATATGGTTAAATGGATTGTAATTATTTGTAAACTTGTAACTATTAACTATTTACGGCTTAAGAAACGCACTTACAGCTTATGATGGATGTTTGTACAAGTAACCTCAGAGTTATTATGGAAGTTTAAATACATTTCCAACTTATGACTGCTTAACTTGTTAGTTTCGATTAATCGTTTTATAAAAGTAAAATAACAGTTTTAAACATATTACAGTTACGCTTGTAAATCTTTAGCTAACTTTAATTCCCCCTGTTTTTAACCGGGAAGAAACTATCAACATAATTGTTTTTATCTAACCAGTTCAAACCCTCGGAATACATGATAACCTAATTTGTCTTTCGATCATGTGTTGTATATTACGTAGAAAATACTGACATAAATGTTTTGGCCTCTACGAAGTCAACATAACATGTGGGTTTTCTATTAAGAATTCAAAATGGTGACGCGCAAAACTATTGTTTTGTTTGTTTTGAATTTCGCGCAAAGCTACATAAGGACTATCTGCGCTAGCCGTCCATAATTTAGCAGTGCAATACTAGAGGGAAGACAGCTAGTCATCACCACCCACCGCCAGCTCTTGGGCTACTCTTTTACCAACGAATAGTGGGATTGATCGTCATGTTATAATGCCCCCACGGCTGAAAGGGCGAGCATGTTTGGTGGGACGAGGATTCGAACCCGCGACCCTCAGATTGCGAGTCAAGTGCCCTAACAACCTGGCCATGACACAAAACTAACTGGGTAATTTCTATTACACACACACACAAGAAATTGTGACGTCAGTGAAGCAAAGGGTATAAGCAACCAGTGGTATTCTAATCGAAAAGGCAGAACGATCTTACAATTTTAGGAAGAGCATATAAGCCGAATTTGTTAGTCCAATGCCATCTTCAGTCACTAGCCTTGTTTTCTGCTCATCCTCATCCCAATTAGTTGTGGTGAAATTTTCAGCATTAATAATGACACTATTTTCTGTCAGAACTTACTGACGAACGCGATACCCATTGCCATATTTTATTGGAGGGGGTTCATTTATACGAGTAAACAGCCACCTGGTGGTAGGTTCTACATATTTTTGCACACAACACGAATACATGAATCTATAAATGAAAAACGTCTGTTTGTTTTTCGAATCGCAACTTTGATACTAGCATTCGTGAAATGATAAGTAACCCTCACTAAATTTTTAGTTTGATGTTTCTAAGAAACCTGTTGTTGTAACGATACTATCGTATGCAGAGCAATAGTCTCAGAATAGGCCTAATATTCTTGGTAAAAAAAGTCTGCTTATGTTTTTGTTGTTTCTTGCACGTTATTTTATGAATAGGAATGTGAAAAACATATCTGTAGTACAGTATGATATTTGTCATGAATATTAACCTACTGATTTTATTTCTTCTTCAGCTATCAGCGTTTAACACTAAAGCATTAACAGTTTAATATTTTAAGAATTTAAGTTTCCCTTCTAGGCAGACCTTATTTGCAAATTCAATTCAACTGTGTATCTAAACCAGTTTTAAAACTTATTTTCTTTTAACTTGTAATTGATTTGAGTTGTCCCTTTTATGTAAGAGACATTTCACATTTATTAGTAAAAATGTTGTTGTCACGAGCTTTACTGAGCAATCAAAAATCATATCATAAAATATCTGATTTATTTATGCAATTTACATCTTCATTTGGGAGCCAGATATTATTACTATGAACTTGGCTATGATAACTAAGTTTAAAACTAGGCAAGTATTAAATATCACAAGTTTCTGAATCTGTTACAGTCAACTTGATCTAGATTTTGTTTGAGATTCTCATCACGGTGAATACGTTACAACTTCTTGTAATCAATGGAGATCTTATTACTTACCTCTGAGGAAAAACTTGTGGCTGCTAAACGAACCCTAAAAATTTGATTACATAAGCTACCAAACTAACTGATATTAATCCTAAATATTTAGGAACTTATTCTAGTGTATTAGGTTAGAAATATGTGAGAAAAAGCATTTTATGCTGTAAATAGTTGATCAATTAAAAGAGCCTAGTAGAAATTTTTTTTGGGGGGGGGGGAAACTTAGTTAAACCTTAGTATACAGATAATGATGATAAAAACATTATTTTTAAATAAACTGGTTAGGCAGTGTAATACAACTAACGATTTATCGTGAAGAAAAGTTTTTGATATGATTATGGAAAAAGCTAATAATATGACTAAAATAACAAATAATTTAACAGAATGTAGTTAGAATTAATAGTGGGCAACTACAGATACTTATCTGAATGACGTAGTCTACTAAATAAATGTGTATAGAATCATGGTTTAAAATTAGTTTGAATTTGATTTAAAGACATTACTCTGAAAGAATGCTGATAGAATTCGCCATGACATGACTAAGGTGCGTAGTTGTACATTAGTACATGACGTTTTAAAGCTTTATTCTGACAACACGCAGTTATTAGTAGGGTACGTCTAAAGACATTAGTCTGAAAGGATGCTGTTAGAGTTCGCAATGGTATAACTGAAAGTGCGTAATTATATATTGTTAGATTAAGCCTTAAAACTTTAGTCCAATGAAACGTAGTAATTCATGGGACAAATGCAATACTATTTCAGTCTAAAGAAACATAATTATACATTAGTAGTAGGAGACTAAAAACTTTAATCTAGTGGAACGCTTTATGGCATTTGTAGAACATAATTTAAAACTTAAACGTGGGTAGACATTAGTGGAACACGAAATAAGATTTTAGGCTGAAATAACATGGGTAGTCATTAGTAGAACAAGAAATATTACCTTTGTCTGAAATTACGTAGACAAACATTATAGTAGAACATGACATAAGATCGTAGGATGAAATAACATGGGTAGACATTATTAGAACGTGACATAATACTCTAGTCTGAATTAACATACTTAGAAATTCCTAGTCTGAAATAACGTGGGTAGACATTAGTAGAATAAGAGACATAAGATCCTAGTGGGTAAGCATTGTAGAGCTCGAAATAAGTTCTTAGTCTGAAACAACGTGAGTAGACATTAATAAAATACGACATAAGAATTTAGTCTGAGAACGTAGATAGGTGTTGATGAAGCTCCACAGAATACTTTAGTCTGAAGTAACATAGTTAGGCAGTAGAACGACTAAAGGTTTTAGTGTAAAGGATCGAAGTTATAAGTTTGCAAAATTCAGCTTAAGAAAATATTTTGAAAAAAACATAGATATGTGATTGTGATGAACTACTTATTTACAATAAACAACTCTGTTTCGGTTAAACATCAAGTCATATAGAAGAATATATTGAGTCATAAAATAACATAATTACAACCTTTTTTTTTGTTTTTTGCAGAGGCTGTATGACGCGAGGACACCTATAAGATTACCATCGAACTTCTTTAGATCCATTTTGGTCTCTTATTAATGTTAAATGTTTAATCTGTCCTTGCTTACAGTTACAGGACAAGTTACGTATGGTTAATTGGATTGTAATTATTTAAAACTTGTAACTATTATCTATTTACGGCTTAAGAAACGCCCTTACAGCTTATGGTGGCTATGTTTGTACAAGTAACCTCAGGGTTATGTGGGAGTTAAAATACATTTCCAACTTATGATTGCTTAACTTGTAACTATTATCTATTTACGGCTTAAGAAACGCCCTTACAGCTTATGGTGGCTATGTTTGTACAAGCATCTAGCTTATGGTAGCTATGTTTGTACAAGTAACCTCAGGGTTATGTGGGAGTTTAAATACATTTCCAACTTATGATTGCTTAACTTGTAAGTTTCGGTTAATCATCTTTATAAGATTAAAATCGCAGCTCTTTATGATTCTTTAATATTTTCAACTCCCACAATATTATCCTATTTATAGTTATTGTAATTATTTTTATAGGGTCCCTTGATAGCTGCGGCTTTTACAAATGGATACCATTGAGTTAGAGCGATAAGGAGCGAAGAAGCGACCGGTAAGTCATTACGATAAAATATTACTACATTACACAAAACCAGAATGACCAACTTGCAAGATAAATATTATGTCTGGTCAGCAAATTAATTTCTTCAAATAGATACTCACAATTTGACATTTTCAAGTTTAAATAGTAAACTTTATATGCATTTTTTTCTATAGCAAGTAAATGAGATTAAAAACAGCTTTACATAGAATATGTCAATTATTTGTTAGGTGTTTCTAGAATATACAGGGAACAGAGTTTAACAATAAATAATCGGCAATCATAGACCTTAACATATTAGACTGGCTATCATAGACTTTAACATATTAGACCGGCTATCATAGACCTTAACATACTAGACCGGCTATCATAGACCTTAACATATTAGACTGGCTATTATAGACTTTAACATATTAGACCGGCTATCATAGACCTTAACATATTAGACGGGCCATCATAGACCTTAAGATATTAGATCGGCTGTCACGGGCCTTAAAACGTTATAGCTATTGCAACTGTCTTGCTTAAACCCCTTATTACAAAAATTTATCTTGTGCTACTTATCTTGAGTTTCTTTAATTCTTATAGCAGCGTCTATAAAGTTCCTGTCAACAGAAAATATGTGTATAAAGTTAGATCAGTTGCAATTCACGATATGGATAAAACAACAATCTCAAACTTCAGCAATATTTTCCTAATATATTTTCTGTGATATTTTCTAATTTAACTCTCTTTCCAACAACGTAGATTTATGGATGAGCCATGACGTTAGTATTTCCTGAAAAAACGTTATAAATAGGGTGTAACATGGTTTCTCCTGAAGAATAGTTTCAATTATTTATTTTGTCATGAAGAATGCTTCGAACAGGGTTAACTTTGAGAGTAAAAAAAAATGTTTTGAAAAAGGATAGCTATGGTGTCTCTTAAATACTATTTGAATAGGTTTAAGATATAATGTCTCCTAAACAGAACTCTCTATAGTGTCTCCTGAAGAACGTTTTAAATATAGTTTACTGAGATGATTTCAAAATAATATGTTGTAATGTCTTATGAAGAATGTATTGTGATAACGTCTAAATATGATCATTCCTAACACATGATTTAGCGTTTTCTGATTAATACTCTATATATATATTCGTTTTCTCCTGAAGATTGATTTGACAGTTTGTTGTGGTACCGTCTTAAGAAAGGTGTTCAAAATATTAGTAAGACAGCTCCTGAAGATCATTGTGAATGACTAAATATATTTTTGTTGATAAAAAGTGTAGTTTTGTTTGTTGTAAAATGTTTCCCATAATATATAGAAAGGTGTTACCTTAATATGATGTGTAGGGGAATTTTATGAACAATTTTGCTGATAATATATGGTGTTGTGTATTTTAAACGATACTTCATAAGATGTGTAGTGTATTCTCTGGAAAACGGCGTTAATAACGTGTGCTGTGGTGTTTTCTGGACAATTTTATTAAAACATTTGGTGTTTTATACTCCCTTAACCCTTGCAGTCTTCTAGAGAAGTCAGGGAAGACTACAATCTTCAGGAGAGATCATTGTACAGGAAACAAAATAGCACGACTCGATAAGACATTCTTGAGGTGACGTCACTGCACACGTTGGCAAATAAAAAACCTTCAGTTGACACTAAAGTACATTCTATTTATACACTTCCAAAGACGACGTCAAATTTTCAAGCGATACTAAAACACATTATTAAATCGAGTTTATATTGTTATGTGTATCTCCCTTTAAAATATTAGCTTATGTTCAGTATATCTTAACACTGATATTTTATACTAAATATATCTCGTTGTTATTTATTTCTATGTAGATTGGAAGCGGATGTGAGCTGAGCTCGGGGATCATCAAGGAGAACTGAGCCTTTTTTGTTTTTGCTTTCTCCTAACATATAAACGCAAATGCGACACCGGCTACTTCGTGAAGTTTATTGATTAGAGAACCAACAAGATATTTTTCTGATAAAAAGTAGCCTCTTCCGCTTCAAGTGATTGTCCCTCTCCTCCTCCTCCTCACTCTGGTCAGAAGACATCATATTTCAATGCTGGACAAGCGTGGTAACCTAATACCGACAGTTTCGGTTTTTATTTTTCACCTACACCGATATTTGACACGACCAATCAGTTGTGGAAAGAAAAAAAATATCTCGTTATTTCATGATTTATATTCATGGAAACATGGATGCATACTTTTTTAGTCTTTTTGAAAATGTAAATTTTAAATATATCGTTTGACGTGCCGCTTCGTTAAGAAACGGTAGTATTTATTGTTACCGATGGTACGAACAGAAAACAAGAGGATCCTCTATTGTTAAGCGGTTACAATGCTGGTATTAGGGAAGAATAAAACATTTTTTGTAATGTTACATCTAGACAGTTTAATGGAATTATGTGATTTAAACAGTCTTTCCTGGTGTTTTTGATGTTTTATTATGTAGAGTTTGATGTTTCTTATGTTGGTTTCAACGATGAACAGTGATTTGTTTTCGTCAAAAAGTTCAAATATACAGATTGTATGTGATACTGAATCCCTTACTGGGTAATGAATACACTAGCACCTTTATATTTACGTTGATATCGTAAGGTTTCATCCCGAAAATGTATTTTAACGCCCATTTTATGAATACAGTGAGCAAAGAAATTTAAATCAAATGAAAAATTACTAGAAATATTACAACAATTAGTTTGAGAAAGGTTGCAATGTTGTCCGTTTAAAAAAAAAAAGTCGAGTATTGACTAAAATATATGATGTTTAAACGGGTAAAAAAGTTGCCATTGCCTGCACATCCTGCCACTGTTTTGAAGCAATTAATTCGAGAGCAATACCAGAGCAATTTAATATTGTTTTTTTATATTTTATATCAATAGCATGTATGGACTATGGCATGAGGATCGTAACATCATGAAACTTAAATTCTCTAGTTCATCGTGATGAAGTAAACCAAGTGCCCCATTTTGTTTTGATTTTTAAGAATGCTTATTTCAGAATCATACATCAATGCGAACAATACACACAACTAGCATTTGTTTTTAAAAGATAAATTACAAGCAAAATTCAAAGAGAGAGAGCGATATTTAAGAGAATGAACGTAGGGTTTGGTAGTTTCTAGATTAGTATGCTACACTTACAATATTTAAGCAAGCAAATATGAAGTGCTGTTAATGTAAACCTGAAATTAAAATAGAACTAGGCAACCTATATTTTTTACATTTGTCACAGTATATTTTTGTTTCTGCAGTTTATTCACGAAAAACTGCTAAAATAGATATAACATACTTTGTAAAATGTTTATGTTTTAGTTTTTATGTCTTCACATTATAATACACTTACAAAAGAAAAATGGTTCATATGGAAGTTTAACCTAAACAGGGAAAGTGGTTTCAAGAGATGTTTTGTTTTTTCATTATGACAAGAAAAGTTTTATTTTATTTATGTTTTAAATAAATTACTTTATATACCACAGCTACCAGCATCGCGGAAAATTAGACTCATAGAAAGAAATTTTGACAAAATTAGTAACCTTGATACTGTTCCTCTATAGTATGTATTGCACTTAACGTATTCGGATATAATACAAGGCAACATGAAAATGTAAGTTTTGTGAATTTTGTGTTTCAATTTCACTTCTACATGCTATTTTATATCTCTCCTACATAAACATACTTTGACAAAAATTCTGTATCCTCTATATTTTTCACTTCATTCTTAGTATTCGATGACGAGGAACCCACTTTGAGACTAATAATGGCTGGAGACGGCTTGAATGGGTAATGAAGAAAAACTCTAATATAAGTTTAACATAACAGCAAATGTACAACGTTTCGACAAAGTTTTGTACCTTATGATGACAAAACTTTGTTGAAACGTTGTACATTTGCTGTTATGTTAAACTTATATTAAAGTTTTTATTCATTAC